TCGGCTCGGCAGAGCCTTACCGTCCCTGGAGGATCCCGATTTCACCTGGGTGCGTCTCTGTGGCAGATAAAGCTGTGGTTTTCGTCTGGCTACTCGTTTGTCCCGCTCCTTCTCGACCCAGGCTTGCTCAGGAGCTGTAAACTTGACTTCTTGGGCTCGAGGGCTCTCCATGCTGAAAGCCTGCTTGCTGGCATGTCTCAGCCTGGACCGTGTGACCTTTCTGGCAGCATATGAGCGTTTAACCTGTCTCCTCTGTACAGCGGCTCTCTGCCGGCGAGGACGGCATGCTGGGAGCAACCTGCGTCGGCCTCTCAGCCCTGGTAGGCACAACTGGGCAGGTGTTGGGTGTTTAGGTATTGATATGCCCCTTATAGGTTTCTGGAGCCCCTTTGCCCCATGCTTCTTACCACGTTCGTCGGCTTCAGGTTGTGATTGTGTCCGGCCTGAGCGCTCTTCCAGCTTGGCCCAGAAGTGCCTGCATATGGCATCAAATCTGGAAAGTATGCTTGCAGAGTCAAGGCCGCGTGGTGTCTGGCTCTGGAGCTCATGCTTGTATACGGTAGCCATTTTGAGTAGCCCAGTCTCCGGATCAAACTGAGGTGAGGCAGTCAGCGTTTAGGTAGCTATTAGGCTTGTCTGGTCTAGTGGCGACCGGGATAACCCCCACCGGTCTGAGGGGGGGGGGACAGCTGGGTATCGCCTCAAGGGCAAAGCTTGTGCGGGATGGGAGATCGGCCGCATCTCCCGCCCGTTCACTGCACTAGACCACGCTGGAAACCCCCTGAAACGTGCAGAGCGAAGTCCACAAAAGGTACCCCCAGGTTTCTCTGTAGGCTACCAAGGTAGGCTTGGGAGTTGGTGGAGCAGCTTAATCGTGGGATCAGGCCGGGAGCTTTCACCAGACACGTCCAGCCGCCATGCAGCTCAGGCCCCACCCCCTAAATATGAATATTTTAAGAAATACAAATCAGTTTTGCCCATAACAATTTGTAAACCGCTAGTGCAACAATATATTACCATAGTCCTGATTGTTAAAATGCCTTATGTCCAGAATTTCAGTCGTATCAGGACAAATATAAGGAGTGGATTGTGGTTTTACAGCAAAACCTTTTAAGCTCTGGCTATAACAACCCCCCACCTCACCTTCCACTTTTGGTGTTTAATATTTATTAAAGTATATGGCTTATTAAAGATAAGCCATGGATATATATATATATATATATATATATATATATATAACTTACCTATGAAATGCATCAAGTGTAAGAGCTGATATTGCATTTCTATGAAACCGTGATATAATAATTGTGACAAAAATGAACACAAAGTAGAAATGGAAACATAGGCAACTTAATGTCAGAAGAAAGTATGCTTGTCACATGGCAATTACATGTGCCACTAAATACCTTGCAAAAGACCTAGGTTGATTGGGAAGGTGTATACTTTAATCTAACTAACCTCCAATTGGTCTAAATATTGAAAAAAATATAAAATTTGTTTAGAAGCTATCTCCTTATAAGATGGATCTATGTATACCAATTGTAGAGTTCTGTTTCCTGTCCTTTCTGCTTTGAGTGGAGGAGCTAACCAAAAGAACAGGGGTGCCCAAAAGGTAGATCCCCACATGTTGTAGAATTACAACTCCCACAAAGCTTTGTATAACAAGGCATCATGGAAGCTGTAGTTTTAAAACATTTGGGGATCTATCTTTTTGGCTCCCCTGCCAGGGTAGGGCTGGCAGCCTTAGGCCTGGGGGGCAAATCCAGTCAAGTGGCCCATTGCACCAAGAGAAGAGTAAAAACACCTTTCTCATGTGATTGAAAGGGACACACGCAGTGACAGGCACACACACACTTGCTGGTTTTAACACACACTAACAAACACATACAGACAGACATACTGGCACACACACAGACATACTGACACACATACAAACATACAGGCCGGTGCAAGGATTTTTTTTTATTTTTTTTATAAATCTTTTTATTGAGAATTTTGTGCAATTCGCGGAACTGATCATCAATTAGTGATAGGTACAAACATTTGCAACTTAGTGGACGCGCAGGTCCAACCTGGTCATAACATAGTACTTGCAGTTACATCGGCAGTTCATTGGTCATGCTATCGGCTCATAACTAGCACCGTACATAATACAAAACTATTCGCCTCCGCCTGTCTTCATTGTGCATAACTATAGGTCGCCCTTTAGAGCGGAATGCGAGATAAGAATAGATTTGCGCTTTATCGGTCTCCTAGTCCCTATCTCCTAATATAGTTTTCCGTCCAGGGTCGCGATGCAGCGTACCGGCCTCGTTATTATGTGATCTCTGTGAAAGTGTGCATGTGTCGTGCATGGTACCTGTATGGTATATGCGTCCACATTTCTAGAGTTGCAGAGGCATAGTATCCTAGTATGATGATAAGATTTGGTCTATGTCTACTCCATGCACAGTGCATAGTAGTGAAAGGATAGATCAGAAATGGTAGAGAAGGCAAGAAGGAGAGAGTGACTGAGAGAGCTGCGTCCACAAGGACACCCCACTCTGTTGCGCCCCCAGCACATTCCCTCCTCCCCCGGTCACCCCCGTGCAAGGATTTTTGACTATCCAGGCAAAGACGCATTTTGCCACCCCCCACCACCCCTTAAAAAAAATGTCTTTACCTGTGTGTCTTGTAACCACACTTTTGATTTTCTTACCCTTTTTAATGTATTTTATCCCCCCTTTAGTGTGTCTTACACCCTTTTGTCTTTTATAACCCCCCTTGTGTATCTTTCTTTCCCCATCCCCTTTGTGTGTCTCTCCCCCCATTCTTTTTGCATGTCTCTTTCCTCCCTTCCAAGCCCCTTTCTGTGTCTCTCTTCTCTCAGCACATTTTGTCTTTTTCCATGCTATATAGATATATAGCAACACACAACCATACAGGCACTCAGTCACAGAAATATGCAGGCACACAATCAAACAAATACAGGCACACAGCCATAAAATCTACACATACAGGTACAATGTCATACAAACACAGACACACACAGAGACATTCAGATACTGTCCTACAGACACAGGCATACAAAGACATACAGAAACAGACTTATAATCATACAGATATGGGAATACAGAGCAGGGGTGGATCCAGAGCCTAATCTCAGGAATAGCACTGGTAGTGGCTGTAATTGAAAATTTAGGGCATGTAGTAGGGGCTAGGGGCTGTAATGGGGTGATGGAGGCTATAGTATGTTGATGGCTACAATTTGGGAAAAGGGCTGTGGTTTGGGTGATATGGGTTGCAATTGGGGGAGAGGAGCTGTAGAGGGGATGTTATGGGGGCTGGGGACAGGGGACAGGGGCTGAGCAAAGGGACAGGGGAAGGGGGACAGGGCTGAGCAAAGGGACAGGGGCTGAGGAAAGGGATGAAAACAAAAAAACTAAAGTGTATTCCCCCCCCCTCCCTGAGTCTTACCTTAGGCCAGGGAGGGGTGGGCAGCAGCCAGCAGCCAGCATCCAGTAGCAGCCAGTATATAGCAGTCAGTGGAGTTGGGCCGGCCTCTACTGATGCTGTCAGGAGGAGGGGGCATGACTTCCTCTGCTCTTCTCCCAGACTCCTCAGCGGCCCTGGGAAAAGAGCAGTGAAAGTCACGCCCCCACCCCCTGACATCATCAGGAGAGGCCGGCCGATGCTGCAGGGAGAGAGGTAAGTTGAAAATTCAGAGTCCCCAGCCAGAGCCAGGGGATTCGGATTTTTGCGCCCCCCTCCTATGTTGCCTTATGGATGCGCCGGCCCTGTACGCGGGCCCATGGGGGGGAAAATTTGTTGTTTTTTTGCCTCCATGCCCCCCGCCCCTGACCCCTGCCACAGAATAATGTTTCCATACTTGATAATTAAATAATGGTAGATAGAGTTATTAAAGGAACACTCCAGAACCCTAAAGCACTTCAGATTGCTGATGTGCTTTATGTGTTAAAGAGTGTGTCCTCTTTTTTAACATTTTGCAAAAAGCACATATTTACAAAGAATTTTCATTTTTATAAATTAACTTTGTTACACCCCCTTGGCTGTCAATCAGATAACTGGTCCTGTTGCTTCCTGGTAGTTTAGCTCAGTTGAGCTAAGTTTAAGAGACAGGCAACTGGACAGGGCACCTGCCTTGCAAAGACCTCTCAAAATAGGTGGAGATTTGTGCATTCCCAGAAGATATGGAGGTTGAGTCCAATCTGAGGCATTGTATTGTTAAAGTGGATCTGTCATTTTTCAATATTTCATAAAGATGTTATTTATTATTTAGAGGGGGAGCAACATGGCAGCAGTTCAACATCTGGTTTTCATCTGGGTTTTCACACTCTTAGCCAACACCCTAGCCTTGTTCCCCAGTTACTACCTGAGCAGCTAAAGAATTTCTTGGAACGTCCCGTAACAGACCTGGAATCTGCTTACTAGTATGTTGTAGGCTTTTACCATCCTGGTGCCACTGTGATTGATGAACAGACTGCATGTGATCTGCTCAAATGTTGATCATGGTAGTGTGGATTAACTGTTTTATGCTGCTCAGTCCAGCCAAGCTTTGTCCATCTGTAAGGTGACAATCTCCAATGAAACCAGAGACTTCTTGCTTGGAGCAGTAAGTGAGGACTCCATGGACAATCAGATCTATCACAAAGGCATTGGCCTTCCAGGTAGTAGTTGATGACCTCACCATTTGGCTCAGCAAGGAGGAAAATGTGCTTGCAACCATCAAAGCTCTGCTAACTGCATCACATCTGTCTCCACAAGCAGACAGACGGGAGGATCGTGGAAGAGATAGAGGATTTGCAGTATCCCATAAACAACCTCTCTTACAACTGCCGGTCACCAATGTCCTCTCTCAGCCTCTTACTGAAGCCAAAGTGAAAATTATTATGCCAAATAATAATTACAATAACAATTATGCCAAATAATCCAGCACCAAAGCCACGGTCCTTCAACAGACAGCCTTCTCTACATCTGGAGACTCCTTTGAACTAAACTTAATGGAAACCAAACTTGCCAGTGGTTATTATGACTTTTCAATTAGTGTGGAGGGAGACAGCCGCTACCTGGCAAGTCAAGTGGAGCTCAATGTAACAGTATCCACAGAGGCTGGAATTGAAAATGTTGACCTCTCAATTGTAGACGAAGACCAAAGTATGCCTCCAAAGACTTCCAGGGTAGAGTACAACTCGAAAGCTAAAGGATCCTTCACTGCTGATAGCCACCATAATTTTGCCTTGTCCTTCCAGCTCACAGATGTGAACACTGGGCTAATCTCACACCGCAAGCAGAAGACCAGACAGGACGTTGTATTTGTAGCTGAGCCAGACAGTAAGAACATCTATAGGTTAGAGCTTGACCCATCTGAGAGGAAGTCTGAGTTTGACTCTGCAATAGGAACATACAAACTCATAGCTGATTTGGTCATTAAGTTCCCTGAAGAGGACTGTCCAACTCTGATCCAGTCCAAAAACCTGTTTAACCCCAAGCAAGATATTCCGCATTTATTTAGAGAGCCTGAGAAAAGACCTCCTAATGTTGTATCCACAACCTTCACTGCGCTGGTCCTTTGGATAAAAGTGAGTATAAATATCTCCTTCAGAACTTTTCTCCCTGCACCCTTATCTTTCACCTGGGACACGCAGCTATGTTGGGCCTGATGTACGTATATTGGACACAAATGGACATGTTCCAGACCCTGAAGTACTTGCCGATTTTGCAGACAATCACCTTCCTGGCAGGAAACCGCATGCTTCCTCAAAAAGCAGTCAAAAGGGCAGAGAAATTAGTCTACAAACTGATTTTTTTTTATTTTTTGGTCCAAATAAAGTTTTATGCCCTGATTGTTCAGTGACCCTAGGCGTATTGGGATTGTTTTTATTTGTGGGATGAGAAGGGTTTTGGATGGCAGGGGAATAATGGACTTTGTACGATTTATTCTCCTGAAAATAAAAATGAAAGTGAGAGGGGAAAAACAAACAAAAAAATATATAATTACAATCCGAAGATACCGTAAGTCATAGTAGGGACTTCTTTGACAAATGATGGCTGGGATTCAGGATTTGTTTGTCACGGATATCGCAGGATCCTCCATAGAAGTCAGTATTGTACTCTCACAAAAGTGTGGCAGCTGAAGCACCAATAGTGGAGGAGACCTGCATAGTAAATATCGCAGTGGCTGCACCCACCAGACCCACACTGGAACTGTCTGTTTCAAGGGTCTATGCGAAATGCCCAAAATGCTTTACCAAAGTGGAGATATGATATGAAAAACTTTTAGAACTAGGCACAAATACCAATGTAAAGCAGTTTCTGATGATCTTCCCAGTGGTTCAGACACACGGAGGCCATGTATACCTGGGAAATAGCCCTATGCATTGGATAGGCAAACTTAGGCAGTCAAGATGTTGTGGACTACATCCTCCATAATGCTCTTACACCCATAATACTGACAAAGCATCATGGAAGGTGTAGTTCAAAACACATGGAGTGCTGAAGGTTCCTATGCTATTTGTTAAAGGACCACTATAGGCACCCAGACCACTTCAGCTCAATGAAGTGTTGTGGGTGTCAGGTCGTCCTAGTTTTAACCCTGCAGCTGAAAACATAGCAGAAACTGCCAAGGGCGTCTGCAGGGAGGGGGGCCCCCTGGATTTTTCAGCTTGTTCTGCTATTTTTCGTGTTAGATTGAAAATACACTGCAGTAAGTGGTGCTGTGTATGGAGAGAGACAGGGATAGGAAGCTATATCTTATCCCTGCTCTTCTCTCCTGACTGAATCCGCAGAGGAACAGCACATGCAGCCAGAGAGAGCCTACAGATCAGGGAAGTGAGGCATGGGGGGGCAGAGAGCCTATAAATAAGGGAAGTGAGGCATGGGGGGCAGAGAGAGCCTATAGATCAGGGAAGTGAGGCATTGGGGGACAGAGAGAACCTATAGATCAGGGAAATGAGGCGGGGCAGAGAGCCTATAGATCAGGTAAGTGAGGCGGGGGGCAGAGAGAGCCTACAGATCATGGAAGTGAGGGATGGGGGGAGGCAGCGTACAGGAAGAGCAGCAAGGAGCAGGAAGGTAACGTAACAGAAGGAGTAGAAAGGAGAAGGAACAGAAATGAGCAGGAAGGGACAGCAAGGAGCAGGAAGGGGCAAAAAGGGTCGGCAATGAGTTAGAAAGGGCAACACAAAAGGAAAAGTAGGAGAAGGAGCACAAATGAACAGAAATGAGCAGCAAGGAGCAGGAAGGGTCAGCAAGAAGCAGGAAGGGGCAGAAAGGGTCAGCAAGGAGCTGGAAAGGACAGGAAGGGACCGAAGGAGCACACATATAAAGTAGGAGAAGGAATATACATGTTCAGGAAGGGTCAGCAAAAATTAGCAGGAAGGGGCAGCAAGGGGCAGGAAGGGTCTTCAAGGATAAGGAAGGGTCTGCAGAGAGCAAAAAGGGACAGAAGGAGCACAAATGGTAAAGGAGCAGAAAGAATCAGAAGGAGCACAAAGGTAAAGTAGGAGAAGGAGCAGAAAAGGGTAGCAAGGAGCAGAAAGGAATCAAAAAGAGAAAGGAGCAGAAGGGGGAGCACAATAAGCAGAAAGTAACAAAAATGTAAATGAGTAGAAGGAGCCAAGGAGGAGAGAAGACAGTGTCAGAAGAAAAAGAAGACTGTGTCAAATAAAGGAGAAGAAAATGAGATTGAAGCCGGAAGGACAAGTGAAGTGAACCCTCCACTTTATTCTGGACACCATATCATAAGGCTTTGGTATCTGGGCCTGGCAGGGAAACTTTGGACCTTCTCATCTCCCCAGGTAAAAAAAAATATATCAGTGTTAATGTGTTCACTTTTATTTACTGATTGTCAGGAAGCACAGAGTGCTGCTGGGTAGGTGTGTCACTGATTGGCTAGAGCGGTCAGCTGGCACTCTAAGCCAATCAATAGCTCCCCATTCATAATAAAAGCAAAAAAAAATTATGAACTGTGAATTAGCGATTGGCTTAGAGCGTCAATTGACCACTCTAGCCAATCTGCAGCACCCATGCCTGACGTCAGTCTGAACTTCCTGACACTCCGTTTCAGAAGCCGAATACCACTGACCGATCTGGAGCTGGAGTAAGCCTTTGGGGTTAAAGAGAGAGCGGTTTAACCCCTTAAAGTAAAGAGAGCACCCAGGGTCTTCCTGGCATCATAGCATTTTCATTTAGATGAAGTTGTTATGGTGACCAGAATGTTCCTTTAATTTGCTTAAAATAACACTATAGTGTCAGGAATACAAACATGTATTCCTGACACCATAGTTGTGAAAACGCTATTCACCCTGGCTTTATGTGATAATGACCATGTCCCTTCCCTTTCATGATACTGTTAAAAAGGGACCAAGCATGGATGTCATTACAATTATGCCCCCCCCCCCTGAAAAATTCCTGCGGACGCCCATGAAAACTGCTATGTTTACATTGAGGGTTATTCCAGCCTCTAGTGGCTGTCAGGGAGACACACTGAAATGACGCTGGATGTCCATAGGAAAGCATTGAGTAATGCTTTCCTATGGGCGGTTTGAATGCACATTCAGAGCTGACGTTGGTAGGGGGAGGAGAGGTCACCAGTGCCGAGGGAGCCCGGCGCTGATTTAAGGTAGGTGGCTGCAGGGATTTTAACCTCTACAACCCAGCGGGTGGGGGGGACCTAATAACCCTACAGTGCTAGGAAAACAAGTTTGTGCTCCTTTAAAGAGTAAACTGCAAACCAAACTCTTGTTCCCACAGGAGCATGGAAGGAAGTTTCTCAGAGGTTCATAATTTTACCAGCAAAAAGTAGCACTACGTATATTGGTCTAAAACAGGGGTTCTCAACGTTAGTCCTCAGGACCCCCTACCAGTCCAGGGTTTAGGGATTACCTGGGTGTGTCTAAGGTGTTTAGAAAAAGAAAAAAAAAAACAGGTGTTTTTTTTTCCCTTTTTCTAAACACCGTAGACACACCCAGGTAATCCCCAAATCCTGGACTGGTAGGGGGTCTCGAGGACTGGGTTGAGAACCCCTGGTCTAAAAGAACACTATAGGGTAAGGAACTAGGGTCAGCGTGTCTGATAGGATCTTTGGGGATTGTGCAAAGAAAAACTGTATAACAACAAAGTGAAAATAGAGTGTACGACGCAACTTCACAAGCAGAGTGGGGTATATATTTACCAACTGGTAGCTGATCATGTAGAACTCACATGAAAATAGAAGAAAAAAATCATAGTGCAAATGCTGTAATTAACAATAAAAAAAAGACATAGATAAAATGGAACACTCACAAATGTAGTGGCACAATTGAAAAAATCAATATGTGCAGAAGTGTGTATGCCTCAATTAGGCTGTTACTCTGGATACAGTAGTCTGAGATGATATGAAGCATCAGGACCAATTCCTCTTCACTAACCGTCAAACAGAACGCAGCAATAAGACTTCCAGCCGCAGTAATCCTTTCAGAGTATGGTAAGTATGCTCAACTCGTTTCGTCTATCGTTTCGTCCTAAAGGGATATAGGGAGTGTGTCCCATCAGTAGTGGCCTGCCTGCCTGCACTTTTCTTTGTCTGGTCATCTCACTATTCTGTTTTTTTTTGTACTGTCTTTGGGGATTGTGGCTGTTCTGGGGGAGGGGGAGAGTCCCTCCTCATCTTATTCCTTTCCAATTATTTGTCCCTGTTGTATACTAGTTAACCTTGGCTGTTGAAAGGATCTTCTCTATATCAATATTTTTGCCCTGACCTGGGGCTTATCTGCTCTATTGTGTCTATTGTACTTTTCATGAGCATATGTTATCCCATTCTTAAAGCATCCTGGTAACTCTTTAATATTAGAAAGGGATTAGTCCTGCCTCTGTGGCATACCCTATATAGCAGTCACCCACACGTATTTTCCCAGTACCACAGACTTTCTGGTTTTAGCATTCCCTTCTTTAATATTTGGCAGTCCGTGGCTACCTCACATATATTGGTTTAGGCCTCTTTACATTGGGTATTATTGTGCAAAGAGTAAGTCATTACATACCCACTCTAGTTAATAAAGGGTCTGTCTAGACTCTTCAGGTTTTATTGTTTTATCTCATAAGTGGCTTTTGTATTAGGGTTACGGTGAGGTTAAGTGCAGTTATGGGCATTTTTCTGTGCTGTTGTCCCTGTGCCCCTTGTAGGGATTTTCCCGGGGCAGAGTGCCAACAGCTCTGATTCCCTTCATTTCTATTCTTTTTAATCAAATACCACTACCCAAACTATATGTAACTTAGAGCCCAAATGGTATTTAGCGAAGAGCATCTTGAGACTTTTCATTTAACCATTTTATCACCAGCCTAATATGCTGATTACATTTAGTTTAGTTTGGCTTTCACATACGTTTAAGTTTTCAAAGGGAATTTAACAGCAATATTGATTATTTTTGGAAAATGACACTGTCACTACACTTTCTAGCATCACACTTTGGTGCTATTTTTAACCATAACAATTACTTCTCTAGTACAGGGTTCCCAACCCATGGTATGGGTGCGCCCATGGGTACAATCCAGTGCCCATTGGTTATGCAAATGAAAATTGCTTATGTGTATCTGTATGTCTCTATTTGTGAGAGTGTCATTGTTTGCATCTGTACATCTTTGTGTGTCAGTGTATCTGTACATCTGTATGTGTGTTAGTGTG